CTGGGCTACAAAGTGCATTCAAGGCCAGCCTGAACTGCATAGTAAAACCCTGTCTCAAAAAAGACAAGACAAAAAAAAAAAAAAAAAAAAGCCTGTATCCTTCACAGCCTGGGCAGAAAGTCATTTTCAGCAGCCATGCCTGTCCCTAGGTTACAGTTTGTCTGTGTCTTGCCCCAGGGTCATGTGTCCAGATTCAGGTCCAACTTCAGCCCTTACACACACACACCTCCTCTCCAAAGGGGAGAGGGCCTGGAACCTTATGGACATGTGTACGTGGAACCAGGACATCTGGGTCCCAGGAGAGGTGAGGTAATGTGAAAACCTTTTGACCACCACCTACTCTTGGCTTCCAATCCCTCTTTACCCTCCACTCCCCCTTAATCCTGGATTACATTTAAACCTGTTTAGGTAAAAAGATGTCCTAGTTGTGCTTCCCCTTCTTTCCAGGCCTCATCACCTGGTTTCTTCCACCAGCCTTCAGACAGACTAATCTTCCTGGAGCTAAGGGGCTAAAGAGCCAGCCACAGAGGACAACCAAGGGCACAGCAGAGCCAGCCTGGTGGCCCTGCCTTTTCAAGGATTGCTGCGGCAGAGAAGGATTGGCTCAGCCTGAGTAGAGTGGCCAGCAAGAGGAAGTCAGAGCTCTTGGCTCTCCCACGATGAACTCCTTCTCTTTGTCATATATCCTGCCTAGAGGATTTGGGGACCCGGTGAGAGTTATCCAAGGGGCAAAGTGAAAAGCAAATTTATTGCCACCTTTGCTAAACTTGTTGAAACCACCCTATTTCTCAGAAAAATTGGGGCCAACTGAGGAGGTCAAGACTATAGGAAACTACAGCAGGCCTTTCCTTGGCCATACAGAGAGGGTGATGGGGTGCCTGATGTAGCCTCCAATCCAGTTTGATGCCTGCCAGGGGATGAGTATCATCAGTGTAGAAATCCTCTGCACACCCAAGCCTGAGGTCTCACAGTGAAGATTGCTCATCATCTCCAGATATAGCTTGGTCCATTATTGAGCAGCCTCCACAGTTACAGAGTTCTTAGGACAGTGGGATTAATCACCCTGGTGGCCTGTAGCCTCTCCATCCTCTTCTATGCTGTGTAGCTCCTGCTGTCTTCCCAGAGCGCACAGCAAATTTTTCTCCATGACAGACCTTCAGGTATTTGAAAGCAGGAACCCTGGCTCCTCTGGGTCGGCACTCAGCCAGACAAAACATTCCAGGTCCAGAGAAAGGGTTCTGCTCGGACACCGGACGAAGGCTGCCTACCTCAGCCAGGTCAATGCAAGATGCCCCTTTTGGAGATGAACTTAGGGCAGGGGAGCCAGGAGGGGCCATCTGGGCTGTGGTCTTGAGGCTGATGCCTGTGATGGCAGTGATATTTGGCCAGGCTTTAGAGCAGTGGTCCTAGCTTCTGCCTGCAAGAGACTTCAGACTACTCCCCAGTGTCTTTTCCACGGAGAGAGAGGTTCCCTCTGCAATCCCAGGCAGGTCAGGGTGCCAGCCTCACCCGAATATCAGAGCTAATTTTAGTCAGAACAGTCTACCTCAGGCTGCTGCCCAGTTTTGCAAATTGCTTTCTTTTCTCCAGGGACCAAAGAGAAAATGGTACAAACGGCCAGAGCTTTGTCAACTGGCCTGGATGTCCTCCACCCCAACCCAGTGAGCCCCTTCTCTGTTCCCTCTGAGCTCCATGGCTGATCCTCCTGCACTAAAAGGAGGGGGCGTCCTGGCCTGAACCGCTGGGACTGACCTCCTGGTGACCTGGAAACTCCATCCTGACCTGGAGGATGGTACTGACCATGGAGGAAAGAGAGTGACCCTAGGGCCCGATAAAAAAGCAGCAAGGGTAGAGGGGGTAACACATTAATGGCCTAGGAGATCAAATTTCTCTCCACCTTCCTCTTTTCCTCCCCACCCCCAGCCTGCACCAGGTGCCCCATGCCTCCTGTCCCTGTCACCCACCCCTACTCCATCGCTGCCTCTGAATTTCCATCTTCCTTCTTTCTCCATCACTAACCCTCTTTCCATCCCCCATTCCCTCAGTTTCACCCCAGCCTCTTCCAGGGATCTCCACCGGTTATCTGGTCACCACAGGAGATAGGCCAGAAACACCCTCTTACTCGGTCCTGTCTGCTCCCTGAAGGTATCAGAGCCCCTTCCTCATGGTCTCCAGGAACTAGGCCCCCACAGCACTCTGCCTTCCCGCCTCCTCCTTGTTCCCATCCCGGAGCGGTCCACCCCCTGTCCAGCCCCAGAGTGGCCACTGCAGTACTCACACCGCACGCATGGATTCAGCCTCCGACCCGGGTTAGGGGTGGCTCCCCGCTCCCTCTGGCCCCTTGTTCAGAAATCCCCAGGGGTCCGAGGGGGCCGGGGGCCCTGAGCGCAGAGTGCTGGTTCGATCGCCTCGGCTGCGCTTGGATGGGATCAGGTGGCGTCGGCGTCCGCTCGCTCGGCAGCTCTCGGCTCTGCCCGCCGCCCGCCCCCCATCTCACACCGGAGGCGGGGCGGGGGCGGGGGCCGGCGGCGCAGGGGAGGGGGAGAGGAGAAGGAGTGGGAAGGGGAGGCGGGTTCCCTGGCTTGTGGGCTGTCTGTGAACACTCTCTGAGATGCATCTTTAGATGCGAGAATTTCTCTTGCAACCTTGCAGAGCTGGGTATCAGTGTGGCCAGTTCCCTTTCACTCACCAGAAGAAAATTCAGTCTGGGAAAGTGTCTATATAAGTCTGGCATTACTGAGCGTTTTTGGGCCTCCCTGATCATCCTTGGGGTGGTGGGGCCTTTTTCCAGCATGGGTTAGAGGTGCAGCTACACTCAAAGGCACCTACATGTTCACCTGCTCTTTCCTCCTCTTTTCTCTCTAGCAGAGAAAGCTCGAGTTGTGTCTGGTCCTGTGTGCCCTTGCCACCCCTTCCCTTCCAGCCTATCCCCCTGCTGCTCATCCACACTGTTGACTCCTGATCAGAGCTTCCTTGTCACTGGAACCTCTGCCCAGGTATCTTGGACCAGGAATCTGAGAATCTCAGTTCAATTCTGGTCTGTTCTTGGGTCCCAGAGTAGAGGCAACTCTCTAAGCTCTGTTGCTTCCCGCTGTATGCATGTAGGCTCTGTCCTTAGCTCTTAGCCCTGGCAGCTGGGCAGCAGCACCTCTCAAAATCATGCCAGACACCAGGAACCCCACCTTTGGTCCTGTAGCTGGCAGGGATCCCTACTTCCCCTTTGCTCTGGGTGAGGTAAGGCAAGGATTCTGCTGGGACAGGAAGGGGCTGAATATTTCCTTCTAGGCCCACGCAAACAGTGAGTAGTATCATGTAAGGATCCTTGTTAAGGAAAAGATAGAAGTGGGAAAACTGCTTATTGCCCCAGTTTTGCCTCTTGGGCATGTCACTTCTCTTTGGCCTTCAGACTTCCCCTCTGCATAAGTAGGCAGTAGTGGTGGTGATATATGTGTATTTGGGGGGGAGTACCTTGTCTGCATCCCAGGATTACTGTGATAAAATGAGACCCCAGTTGGAGTGTCCCTTTCTAGCCCTAGTTACATTAACTTCTCACCCATCAGCTCTTTGTTTATTATGTCTTAGAGACCCCTCCCTCTGCCCCAGCACAACTTGGCTGTGTGGATGACTCCAGCCTCAGATAACCTGCCCTGGGCTCTCCAGTTACCAGGAGCAGAAGGAGCCTGCCTTTGGGTTAGAAATGGTTCTGTCTGAGTGGGCTGACAAGCAGAAGGAAAACATCACTGTTCTTTCTCTTGTGCTGTCATTTCTGGCTTTGGCTTCCTCTCTGGGAGTGGGAGGAGGAGCCTGGGGGTAGTGATGGTGATGGCAGAGGGAAAGGTCAAGGTTTGGGTAGAATCAAAGAGAATCCAGGGATAGGAAGGCAACTGACCTCTCCTGGCCCAGTCCCTTTCCTCTGAAGATCTGAAGGGTACGTGTAAGGAAATTGAGAAAATCTCACTTGTTTCTCCCTTCTTTACTCAGCACATACTCAGAAACTCAAACAGGCTGCCCTTGAGATGGCAGAGCTAGTGGAAAGTTGGAGAGAGAAACCAGATTCGTGTGAGGGGGGAGGCAGGACAGTAGAAGTGGAAGCTGGGTCACCAGTGAATCCTCACCTCTGGCCCCAAGGCAGGTCCTGAGTTTATTTTCTTTCTTTTTTCTTTTCTTGAGACAGGGTCTCACTGAGTAGTTCAGGCTGGCCTTGAGCTTACTATGTAGCCCAGGGTGGCCTCAAATTTGCAAGACCCTCCTGCCTCAGTCTTCGAGTGCTGGGATTACAGGAGTGCTCTGCACCTGGTCAGAGTTTATTTCCAATACTGAAAAAAGAGAGAATCTATTCCCTCCTCTGACATTTATTAGTTGGCTCTTAAACACCAGGTACTTGTATGACAAAAATAGATCAAATCCCTGCTCACCATCCCCCCCCCCCCGGCCCCGGGGGAGTTAGGGGAATGAGGTAGGGAGAAAAGGCAAGATTTAAAAACGAATGGTGGAAAAGCGAGCTCCAAGAAAGTAAAAGAAAGCAGAAGGGTTGGCGGAGTAGACATCTGAGCCAGTCTGTAAGGTGGAAACAGGGGGCTTTAGTGCGCCCTTCCCCCAGGTGGCAGCTGGAGCTCAGCCCGGGCGGACCGTTCCTCTTGCGGCTCCGATCTCCTTTCAGCCCATTCATCTACGCCTGGGTCGGGGGCGGGCGGGCAGACAATCAGACACTGTTTTATCGCAGGCGTCGTCTCCAACCTCCCGCTTGGTCGCGGGGGAATGTGTTTCTCGGGACTCCCTGGGGATTTAAACGTCTGAGCCTCCGACGCCTGGGCAGGGAGTCGGGCCGGAAGGCTGTGGGCGACAGAGCAGGTGAAACATAGAAAATATCCCCTCGGGGTAGGGCCAGCTCTCCCCGCGGCCCAGCCGCCTGCTTTCCGGGTGCTGTAGCCGAGCTTGTTCTTCCAGACGCTCGACCTGTGTGCCCGCCACCCGCGTACTACAACTCCCAGCAGGCTTTACAACTAGGCCGCCCAAGGCGCATCTGTGGCGAACCACACCACCCGGCGTGCTGCGGTGCCGGAAATTCCGGGAAGTAGAGCCCAGGCCTGGCCCGAGCTTCCGGGTTGGTCGCGCGCCTTCCTTCGGCTAAGATGGCGGCTGAGCATCCCGAGCCACCCAAAGGAGAATTGCAGCTGCCTCCACCGCCTCCTCCGGGGCACTATGGCGCCTGGGCTGCCCAGGAACTTCAGGCCAAGTTGGCAGAGATTGGCGCTCCAATCCAGGGTGAGGAGCATGGGAGGTCAGGAGAGAACTGCGTGGTCTAGTTGAGCGGCGGAGCCTGGTTACCCGGGAGACCCGGAGAAGGGGGTGAAGGTGAGCCGCCGGGGTCTGGCCTGGCCCTGCTGGCCTGCCCCACTGATCCTCTGCTTTACCCCATAGGGAGTCGCGAGGAGCTGGTGGAGCGCCTGCAGACTTACACCCGCCAGGTAAGTGTTGGCAGCAGTACTTGTATATAGGCCGAACTTCTCCTGGGGGCTTTCAAGACCTCTCAGCGCTACATCTTCATTGTTTATGTACTTGGGCACAGCGAGCGCGACGCTTGGTCTTTTCGCCTGTTCTTAGCTTTGCCTGCTTTATTGTAGTCTGCTTCTGTCCATACTGCTGCTGTCTAGTACTCAACTCAAACCCAGGCGAATAGCTGTTAATAGCTGCTTGGTAAATATTGTTGAATGAATGGAAGAGAACTTCGTTTAGTGGAACGACTCCTCTTGGACTGACCTTGACGACTCCTTTCTTTTTTTGCAGACTGGCATCGTGCTCAGTCGGCCTGTTTTGAGAGGGGAGGATGGGGACAAAGCTGCTCCCCCCCCCATGTCTGCACAGGTAAGAAAGTTGTTTCATTTTATAGAATCCCTCATGTGCCAGGTAGGCCTTTCTTTCATATGCATTGTACTGAGGCTGCAGTTAACAGATTGAATAGGGAAGTCCTGCGATCACAGAATTGGGAACGCTTCTCTTGTGCTGACACTTACCTCCTTCTTTGAGGCTTGCATCTCTAAATTCTACCCTGTCATTCAAGATTAAACTTGGGTAGCTGGAATCCTAACTTAATTCTCCCCCAGCCGAAAATAGTTACATTCTTTGCTTCCTCAGGCCTAGCTCCCGTGTTAGTGAGACGTTGAGGGCAGATTTATTTGATTATGTACTCTTTGCATTTACTAAGTCATTGGGGTTTGCAGTGGCCTTGCACAGTGGTTCCCATTTATTTAAGTCTTCCCAACTTTCATATCCCTTCTGATCCAGGATTTGGTACTTTTTTCTACAGAGATGTGACTCTAACCCGGAATTTATTGATTCTGAGTGTGGAGTGAGGAGTCTCAATATGGCTTTTAAGGGTGTCCTTGAGTCTCCTGAAATTGAATGTAAAATCTGTTTATGATACTTTTCTGGGAAGAGAGTCAATACCTTACTTTGGTTGGTACCTCAAAGTTAGCATTCTTAATATTGCTGTTGAGCATTCTCTTGTGGAATCATGTATAATTTGGCCTTGAATCTCAGTAACTGGTTCATGGTAGAGCCCCTGTAAATGTTTCAACAGGTAAATGTTTCTTAGTTTATGGTTGTATTATTTTCTCTACAGCTTTCTGGGATTCCCATGCCACCACCTCCCATGGGACTTCCTCCTCTGCAGCCTCCTCCACCACCCCCACCACCTCCACCAGGCCTTGGCCTTGGCTTTCCTATGGCTCACCCACCAAATTTGGGGCCCCCGCCTCCTCTTCGTGTGGGTGAGCCTGTGGCACTGTCTGAAGAGGAGCGATTGAAGCTGGTGCAGCAGCAGGCAGCATTGCTGATGCAGCAAGAGGAACGTGCCAAGCAGGTAGGCAGGTAGATGACTGCACCTGGGCCTCATTAGGTCCCTGAAGGGGGAGTGGAGCCTCAGAAAGCTGGATGATCCTGGGGCCACATTTGGGAATATCTAGACCAAAGACTAGAGGACAGGTCTTAGGCTGGAATAGGACTCCAGGTAGAAAGAGTTGTGGCATATTGGCCTGGGGGATATTGGTGCTGGTATGAGCTTGTTTTCTCTTTTAAGCAGGGAGATCATTCATTGAAGGAACATGAGCTCTTGGAGCAGCAGAAGCGGGTAATACCCCTCTCCCTAACCTTTGACCTCATGGTCCAGTCCAAAGACTGTCACTTATATTCCTTAGTGTCCAGAATAAGATGCATCATTCAAGTTTTCCTTGGAGGCTATCTCATTCCCAACTAAATTCTGGAATCTTCCAAAGGATTCCCTTTTACTCATAGTCCAGGTGTTGGCAAGCTACAACCTGTGACCTCCTTTTGTATAGCCTGTGAATGAAAAATGATATGTATATTTTCAAACAGCTATTTATAAAAAATTAACATCAAGAATATGTAAAAGGGTCCATGTAAGAGCACATAAAACCTAAATATTTACCTGTAGCCCATTACAGGAGTATAACCTTGGAGAGAAGGATCTTTGGAGAGAATG